CACACACACACACACACACACACACACACACACACGACCTCAGCCCTCAATTTACTTTTCACTTGGCAAGATATTTACATGGTGACCTGTTTCAAACAAATCTCTCTGAAAGTCTTATTTAATTAAACAAGGACTGTGATTTGAATTACCTTTGAAAATATAAAAGAAAGGGTTAAGTTGAAATTGAAAGTGCTGCATAAGCTGCAAAGAGCTGATTGCCACTCCATGACAGAGCTATAAAACTCCTCACCTTCAATGAAAAGGGATGTCCAGATTCTTTAGACCTAAATACCATTTATCAAGACTGGGAAGAACTATTTCCTTGACAGACTGAGTCATCCTGAACAAGAGTCTAAGCTATTCCACTGATGTTCCAAACTCTACTACACATGTGAAAACAAATCAGGGCCAGGAAAAAGAGAACAAAGCATGCTCAATTTGTACCTGCCACTCACAGATAAAAACACTGTTTGTTTGAACGCAAAGCTATCATTTCTTGACGCTTCTGCCCGCAAAAACTAGATAATACAAATTCCTAAATGTTACTACAATCATTTCCACATTTTGCCACTTAGTTCGCCCCTAACAGAGAGCCCAAAACCACAAAAATTGGCCACTTAGCTTTTCCAGCCTTTGAACCTTAATCTCTCAATAATCCTGGAAGAATCCCATAGCCTAGAAGTCTACTTGACTTTTCTACGTACCCTAGTGTCAGACTGAGTAAAACAAACTGGAGATACAGAACAAAGACACAGGCCTTAGGCCTTTGTTAATGCAGTTACCCCATGCAAAACACCATTCAGGAGAACATTAGGCAGATGCAAGAATGTCAAATAGGACTTTCTCTCTGAGCCCCTAATGATATAAGACTATTATCTGTGTGTCATATCAATCACCCTACAGAATGGAAACTCCTTGAGGACAGGAAAGGTTCTCTATTTTGCCTGTAATCCCAGAGTCTTGCACAGTGTTTTTATCATAGCAAACACCTAAAAAGTGTTTGCAGGATTAAATTGTTGAATTGACTAGAACTATGAATAGATGCCCCACAAATGTTGCCCCCTGATACCTACCACCCTACGGTACATTTCAAGAAGTCACTTGAATCAAAAATTCAAAGCAGGTAAGTCGAAATCTTAGACGCTCTTACACAAAGACTATGAGCTCTTTCAGGTCAGAAATTATGATGTTATTTAATTTCTTTTCTATCCTCCACCTGGTACAATGAATAAATTACTTGTTGAAATTAATTGTATCACCAGGTGCCTCCCAGGTAAATATAAGGAGGCTCTTAGAAATCAATATGGAGAATCCTGAATCTCTCTCATAAAGGCACAGATAAATAAATGTGTTGTTGCTTTGAAAAGCTAAGGGCCCTATGCAAATAAGTAATCACCATTATTATCGTCTAGAGATGAACCACAGACCTCCGGAGACCTCATTATCTCAGGGGTCACTCTCTTAAGAAATCACAAGTCTCATTAGGCCAACTACCAGCAATCTCATCCATTCTTTTTTTTGGCTAGGCAATGGGGCTAAGTGACTTGCCCTGGGTCACACAGGTAGTAAATGTGCATCTATTCTTGAGATGCTGATTTCTGATCATCATTTTCTGCAGAAATGACTTAAATCAATCACATTCACAAACACAGGCCTCTGGACCTAAGGGTCCTTCAAAATCTCCCAAGATCTAAAATAAAGCATGTTTCAGGAGAGAACTTAATACAACTAAACTTAAAATTAAAGCATTACATTGAATTAAACACGAAAATGATGATTTATAGCATTAATTCTATTCACTACTCTAAGTCATAGTTTCACACTGATTTTGGCAAGAAAAATAAGAGTTGGCATAAGAATGTTCGAGGTAAAATTTTTTACAGATTAAAAATTTTCTTTAGGCCGTTAATCACAGATCTCAAAATTCATATGACCCTAGATCTAAGACTAGAAGAGACCCTAGAGACTGATTATCTAGTCCAACCATCTCACTTTACAGATGAAGAAACTGAGGCTCAGGGAGATTTAATGACTTGTGGAACGTCAGAGATAGTAAGTATCAAACCCAGATCATGTGACTCCACATCCAGCTCTTTTTGCTGTACCCAGAAATGGAATAAGTAAATTTGGGGGTGACAAGTCCTATAAAAATAAACAGAAAAGTTTGTTCTGATTGATTGTTTAGGTAATGTGAGAGATGGCCTAAAGTGCAGTTCCCTCAGGCCTAAGTGTCACTTTTCTAGAAAGCCCTGAGTTGAGTTTCACCTTTCTCAAAAATCCACATCAGCACAGGCAGTTCCTGGTAGCTCCGGCTTACATCTAGTTCCCAAATATAGATATGTTTGCTTCTATTGGATATTAATTGACACGTTTAGATTGTACGCCTTGAGTGCCCAGCCAATGGGAGAAAGAGGTGAGAGAGTGTGAGGGGGCATGCATTAAGGCTACAAAACTTTGCTTCTCACAGCCAGCAGGCACACTCCCTGGCTGCCACTGCTTGGGCGACAAGGCCTGTGCCCTTTCTCATGAGAAAGAATAAAGACCTTTTCTGATCTCTGATTCAGACTCCAAACTCTTGATTTCAGTGGTCACGGTCCAACACAGTAATATCCAATTAAACATTTCCTACCAATTTAGTACAGTCACATTTCCAATGAGATTTTTATTTCAGCTTCAGGAAATGTTAGAATTTATTTAAAGGATACCATGTTTGAGAAGCAATAGAAAGGACACTTGGATGGGGAATCAGAAAAGCTGCCACAGTTATGTGACTTAGGGTGGGTCATTTAATCTCTCTGCTTCTCAGTTTCCTCTATCTCTATAAAATAAAAGTTTCAGAAGATAATGTATATGGTCCCTTCCAATTCTGAAGTTCTATGACTGAGACAGAATCTTTATACAGTTCTCTTTAATATTAGCCTACATATGGTCTTTCCATATTTTAATCATTAACTGTATAAAGATTTTATTTATTTCTATAAACCTTTACACCAATTAGAAAACCCTATAGTGTGGCACCATATCAGAGTCAAACATAAGAAGATTTGCTTGCCTCCAAATGGGCCTATATTATTTAAGCCCCTATGAAAATCAACTTCTAAAATTAAGCAATAGGAAGTGGACTAGGACAAAGACCTTAAATGACAACATTTTAGTCCATTCCATGGAGAAAAGCTCAACGCATTCTGATGCATTAGCCACAATGATCCCCTTCAATCTTTAGGGCAAAAAGAAAACACAGTCAAAGCAGCAAATTCATACATACAAGGGAAGGAGAGAATGGGCTAACGCAAAGATTTCCAATCAAATAAGCAAACCAACTATATTTAACTTCTGCCCATCATCATACTCATTTACATAAATTTCAACATAGCCCTATACTAAAAGCCAAGTCAGAGTGGCAAACTGTTATTGAAAAACAGATACCTGTCGAGGCTTTGAAAGATGGAATTTCAATTTAACAGGCAACAGTAGTGCCCCAGGGTGATTTTTAAAATGTATTTCTTCTACTTCTTCTTAACCCTCTAAATAAAAGGGTTAGGAGGGTTACCAAAGCCTTATCAGAATTCCTTGAGAATCACGGGAAAATATCCTCCCTTTTTAGAACACTGTACTATCCAGTCATGTAGAATTAGTTTACTTAGAGGGAGAGCAAGGCCCAAAACATAACCTAGCATAATAGCTACAACCACATACTTCAGTCCCTGTCCTGGAATAAAGGGAGTCAGGGCCCACAGACAGGGCTGATCCTCTTATCTTCCCAAAGGCTCCCTGCCACCAAAGATAAATGCATTGTCCTGGCAGGAGATCGTACAAGCAGAAGCAGCCCTCTCTGTACGACTGACTGGAAAGAGCAGCTACTGTGGAGAACATTCTAAAACCTTATGATTATGTCCCGTAGGCCTACTTCCATCTCTTCTCCCAGGCTATCTATTTCTATCTGTATGGCCAAACATTGCTAGCTGTGCATGTTGTAGGGTGGGGAGGAAGGAATTAAGTCTTTTATAAGGCCCTAAGGATGTCAGTGGATATGGGATAACTTGGAAGGGCCCTTATTTTACAGATGAGGGAACTGAGAACGAAGAAGCATTTAATGCCTTCCGCTAGGTTTAAAAAAAAAAATCTTAAAGGTCATGGGTAATTGAGAGTTAGGGAATTTGGGGAGATTTTCTTCAGCCTGAAAACAGAGAAGAATTCTCTCAGTAGAACTGAAGTATCTTCCTTCTCTACCCAAAGAAAAGTCCCCAGTGCTAAGAAGCCCTTTGCAACTATAACACACTCAACAAACTGTTCACAACATTTACAACCATAATCTTTGCTCGACAGGCAACAACAATAACAACAACAAAAAAAATAAAAAAAATAAAAAAGGAAAAAAATCACATGAGGAGCTAGGTTAGTGGCTGGGGAAGGACATAGATTCCTGGTCCTGACCTTTTGCTCCATGAACCGGCATGGGCAGCAGAGTTGACGTAGTAACATACTCAGCCCCTGGAGAGAGAAAGACCTACAATTCGTTCTCACAGTTTCAATTATGCATACCCACCACTGGCCTAGCAGCCTCAGTTCTGTGATACTTAAGAAGGGTACATATGGGGTACCTTACATCCACAGCTTTTTCAATAGTTTGCCACCAATTATTTTCAAGAGTAATGAGATATTATTACATTTTGTTTCATTTACTTTTACAATATACCTACTTCATGGCACAATTAGGGAGGGGTAGAAGGGAATCAAACATTATTGGTATGTCAATTCCAAAAAGACAAGCAATCACAAATCTAAAGGGAAATCAGAGGTTCACAAGATTCACGGCTAAAAGCCACACATCTGAAGTATTAAGAATATAGAGAGCAACAGAAGTAAAAATGAGATAAGGCATTGAGATTTGGGGTAAAATCACTTTAGCACCAGGAGGAACAAACAGAGGGTTGAAAAAGAACAGTCAATAAGTAACTTCCTATCACTTCTTGCCAACTTGACTGGGTAAGCTTCCTTACTTGGCTTTATAAGTTGTTCCTCTTGGGCAATTCCCAGATCATCTGATTCTCCAGACAATTCCTTGATGAAGTTGGAAGGAAACATGCCGGTCTTTCCGTTGAGAACGCCTTCCCACCATCCCTCCTCCACCTGCACAAAAAAAAAGGGGCAAAGAACAAACATGCATTTAAATTGAGTCATTTTCATTTTATTTTAATGCTGTGTAGCACACACAATGGACCCTTCCAGAGGAGAGAAAAGTGATGGCTTGTGTCTGCTTTTCATTTTCCCCCTAAACGACTGAACTAAAATGAATGGGACCAAACGGTGAGTGTTCCACATTGTCTAAGAAAATTTAATTTGTAGTTGTGAACTTGTCCAACTCTCTCCTACATCAAAGCTTTTTCAAGCAAACCACACTATTATACCAAGCTTCATCAACTGAATGATGTCTAAAAAATTAAACCTATTATGGAGGTCTGTGCATCCTGGTTAGGCAAATTTAAACTCCAACTTTCTTATTATTTGATCTTACTGATGAAGTATTGGAAGATGATAGTAGGTTTAAGACACAATATCTCTTTAAGAGTCTTCTCCTAAGGAGCAGTTTGGTAATTAAAAAGGTGGAAAAAACATTTTTGGGTAAAGGGGAAAATTATATTGTTAATTGTTATTAAAACTGTCAAATGACATAATTTATTGCTACTGATATAGAAGAATATTTTGATAATGAGTTGAAAAAGAACTTCATTTTCTGCTCAAATCCTGTCTGAAACCTGTTTCTTATTACTTCTATGTTGGCTATATATATTAAAACAATTAGTAACATAAATGCAGACTCAAAACTCTTTATCAACAAGATAGAATGATGCTTCACCTATGAGGCACTGTTTAATGATATGAGTAGTATTGATACAGTTAATGGTATAAAGAGGCAAAGAAAGATCTTTCATCTACTAAAACTAGAGAAATGAGTGCAGAGAAACACAAAGGATATGAGAGAAATGGATTACTGTGTTGAAGCTTTCAAAACTGCAAAGCATTATGGAACATCAGTGAATTTACACATGCATGCTTAATAACTAAAAAATGTAAAACTAAAAATGAAAAATCATATAAATATCTGGAGACTAAATTATGACTTTTAAAAAGACTTGGTGGGAAAAAGATTTGGTGGGAAAATTTGGGGAGTTGTGACTTTTTAAGTGAAAAGTAAGTCACTGAGAGCCAGGAAGTTCTCATTTAAGCCATAAGGGACTCATTTAAGGAACAGAAGAACCTGAAGAGAAAAATTGAAGATATAGCAGGGAGACTGAAAAGCTGCTCTGTGCCAGTGCAATTAGAAGCAGTCAGCTAACAGAAGGCTTCAGTAAGTGATTCCTAATTGATCCAAGAGCAAACTGATTTCATTGTCCAAGAGCCCTAAGACATCTATTGCAATTCAGCACGACCTAGAACTGGAGAAAGGTGAAGTATCTCCTTAGGGCCTGTTGCTCTCTGTTGCCACCTATGGATTGAAAAGGGAAAGCAGGGGAGGCTTTGCAGCTGCTTAGATACCCAGGTGAGCCGGCTTAAAGAGCCAACCTGAACTGTGCTTCTGTGACCTCTGTCCTGATTGGAGGACACAGCATCTGGATAAGGGAATAACAAACTGGGCTGGTATGCATAGTTAAGAAACAGCCAGTCTGATGAGCTTTGTAGTTTTCTCACTGAAAAAAGAACAACTATTCCCATTAAGAACTAATTACCATTTCAAGGGAGATAGTTAATTTAAAGAGCTTTCTGATAGAGATGAGGATCTCACTAAATGAAGAGAAATGAAGATAAACAGCTAATAAAATGAGTAGAGAAGCAGTTTTGTGTGGTATGGATATATGTGAAGTCTAGAGTTGTGAGTTACCCTGAGCACATGTGAATTACCTTAAGCATAAGAATTTTCCTCCCTCATATGCTTCCTTGCCAGGTTCTTGCAAATGTGTGCCTACCCTTCATCATAGATATGGAGTGCACTGGTGGGAGAAGAATGATCTGGCTTTATAGGTATACTGTGACATATGTTATTATTTATGCATTTCCTTTAATATATTATTATCCATAATGTTGGACAACTAGGGGGCACAGACATTTGCTAGATGTGCAAGTCACTTAACTCTGCCTCAATTTCCTCATCTGTAAAATGAGCTGGAAAAGGAAATGGCAAATTACTTCAGTATCTTTGTCAAGAAAATATCAAATGGGGTCATAAAAAGTTGGACACAACTGAAAAAAACTGAACAACAATCTATGTTATTTCTTTTGTCTTCTTGTTAAAGAAATGGTTATGTTTAAGATCTAAAAATGTTATTATTGTGTTGTAAAAATATCATGGGCCGTGAAGACGCTGCATTAAAGACAGAAGACGGATTCAGAAAAATATTATTCCCCCTCAGCAGAGAATTCTAAAAGACTTTGAATGTAATCATGGGTACTGGTCTGTCTCTGAGAACCTTTGACTTGCTAGCCTGAGAGAAGGTTGGTGTGAACAAGTCAGCTCCCAGGAGAATGGAATATTGACATGTCCCATGTGAGAAGTAATATGAATATACAGATATCGGGAAAGGGGTATGTTCTGATATTAGTGTGTGGATGTCACCACATCATGTCATAAATCTTAACACCACAACCCCTGTTACATTTGGGGACCATATTGGTTATTTTCTAGGCCCCAAGTGTTACTATGTGCCTTGTTACATAGGTAATAGGGGACCATATACTTTAAGAAACCTCTCAAATACAGGAACAAATTATCTAACACAAAGAGTATCTGTTATCTTTCAGGCTTCAAGGATTGTTAAATCTAGACGGATTTTAAGAGTTATTTAAACTTCAATTAAATACATATTTATTAAATGTCTACACTGTATTAAATGCAAGAGATGAAGACAAAATAAGACATAGCTTCTGCCCTTAAAGGGTGTACAGCCTACCCTTCCCTTCTGCACCCTCCTCCCCCCCCCAAAAAAAAAAAGCAGATTTGAAGTAAAAAGATTTAGCTACAAATTTGGCTCTGCCATTGACCAGCTTCAAATATTGCGTAAATCCTTTAACCCACGGGTGGGGAACCTGTGGCCTCCAGCCCACATGTGGCCTTCCAGCTCCTTGGGTGCAGCTTTGACTGAGTCCAAGTTTTACAGAACAAATCCCCTTAATAAAAGGATTTGTTAAAGATCATTAATCCTTAGAGGAAGGAAAGAAAGAAGCATTTATTAAGTGCCTACTATGTGCCAGGTACTGCACTAAGTATTTTTCAGACATTATCTCATTTGATCCTCACAATAACCCTAGGAGGTAGGTGTTATTATTATCCTCATTTTACAGTTGAGGAAACTGAGTCAGGCTTCTTCCATTATCACCACCACCACTTTGAAGCTCCAAACAGGGACAATGATATAAGCAAAACTATAAAGGAGGCAAGGTCTTTCTTGACTCTTTCTCCCATTTCATTTCCTAACCCCTCCCCCTCATCTTCCACGCCTTTTCCTACTTTTCAATCCCAGTCCAGGATCCCATGCCTGTGTTCTTTGTGCTCTATTGTTCTCCTGTATCTAAAATGATCTGATCATAAATAATTAATGATAGGTAATAATGATGGAGGACCTTCATGTTTTCAAAGCCCTTTATATGCTATCTCATTTTCTCATTTGATCCTCACAAACCAACCCTGGGACATAGATGCCATCACTCTCTTCATCTGACAATCAAGTAATTTGCCTAGTCATTCAATTAAGACGCATTAATTAAGCATTTACACCATGCTGGACACTGAGCTCAGCACTGAGGACACAAAGAAAGTCATAAACAGTCCATGCTCTAAGGAAGTTACATTCTAATGGGGAAGGCAGCATGTAAATAAATAAACTAGTTATACACACAGAGTGTATGGAAGGTAAACCCAGTGGAGAGAGCACTACCAGAGGAGTTGGAGGGGGGGCAGAAAGGCTGCCTCAGAAGACAAAGACTCATCTAAGTCTTCAGGGAAACCCAAGGAATTTAAAGGTGGAATTTAGAAGTAGAACACTCCAGGCATTGGGGACAACTGCTATAAAGATAATGACAAAGAAATGGAAGATGTAATGTTATATTCAATTGTAACTTGGCTGTATTGGTAGAGCTGGGGGAGAAGGGGAAAGAATGAGGGAATAATGTAGGAAGACTGCAAAATAAGGAAGGGACCAAGGTGTAAAGAGCTTTAAATGAGAGAGGAGTTTATATGTGATCCTGGAGGTAATAGGGAGCCATTGGAGCTCAATGAGCAGAGGAGTAACCTGGTTAGACCTATGATTTAGAAAAATCACCTTTGGTGGAGGACAGACTGGAGTAGGGGGAGATGTGAGCCTGCCAGACCAATGAGAAGTCTACTGCAATAGTTCAGGCAAGAAGGGATGAGGTCTGAACTAGAGTGGTAACAGCGTGAATGCAGAGAAGGGATAAATAAAAGAAATACCATGAAGGTAGAAACAAGATATGGCAACAGATTAGATATGTGGGGTGACAGAGAGGAGTTGAGGATGGACAAGGAAGTTGTTTATCTGGGGGACTGAAAGGGTGGTAGTGGTGTCCTCAACAGTAAGAGGGAGGCTCAGAAGGGGGAAGAGTTTGGGGGAGAAAGATAGCTGAGGTTTGAACAAATTGAGTGGAAGATGTCCTAGACGACATCCAGTTTGAAATATGCCAAAGGTAGCTGGTGATGCACAATTGCAATTGTGGTTAAGTGACTTGCCCAGAGTCACAGCTAGTAAGTGTCAAGTGTTTGGTCTGAGGCCACATTTGAACTCAGGTCCTCCTGACTTCAGGGCCAATGCTCCATCCACTTCCGTGGCTTGGGCCTGGAGCTGCGGCCCACTGAGGATTCTCTCTCCTAGAAGCAAGTCGACTTTGTCAGTCTTGGCCCTGTGGAAACCTGGGTGCAGGCAGAGCAGCAGCCTACGGATGAGGACGCTGCCACTATTTATAGTACAATTTGTGTATTTATTAACCATTTAAAATGTATAAAACTGTGCTACCACTTTTATCAGGCTCCTGTCTTCATTTTTTAATTTGTCACTGATGAAATTTTTGAGAGTTGCACTCCTTACCCCATTTTCCCCATAAGCCTTGGACAAATTTGGGTA